CATTTTGCTTTACTTATTAGTCTATCTCTGCGTAATATTGCGCCGGTGGGGAATTTTAAGCCTAGGGACTTTTTTCCTCGGTTGGTTACGACTGATAATACCATACTTCGCATTTCTATAGTATAATCAAATTTCTTGGGCTTCTTGCGTTCCACAACTTCGCTCATAAACTGTAGAATTGTTACTAAATTCATACCTTTGAGTTGTACGTGTCTGCAACAGTTTAGGTTAGGTCACCTAGTTTTAATTTATATCCTGAATATGGAAGACAGTAAAAATTATTAATTATTTAATCTCTCGCAGAGTAGTCTGGAATTAATAACTAATTGTTGAGTATGCGATATGTAAAATAGAATAGAGTAATCTACTATTAAGTAGCCTAACCTGTGCTATAGAGACATGTCACTAGGCAGAACGGTGGTTAAATCAGGTGAAATGTTTTAATGGAGGAATTTTTGAAGGGAGAAGAGTAGGCAAAATATTGGGAAAATGATTTTCTGTTCTGGTTACAGAAGAGAGGGGAAGAAGATGGCTCATAGAACACATCGGGGTGGTTGATTTGTGCAGAGTTCAGCTGTTTCGCTATGTAAAAGGTCATTCACACTGGAGGATCGGTACTCAATGGGCTCGTGTTGGCACTGTTGGCCGAATGGAATCACGTAGATAAGTATATCGATTATGAATGGGCCTCCAGGTCCATTCAGCTTGAACGTGACCCAGCCTTGGTCCATCCTCGTCTAGGAGCCTAGTCACTTTCATTCCGTGACACTTGACAGCTTAGGCTTCTGTTAGAACCATGCTATTCCCACATACTAATAGTATCATTTCCATACTGTTACCTGCAATCTCCTTCCAGCATAGAGTAATCGATAACAAGATTTCACAAACGACGAATACCTCCATTATCTTTTTTTCCTATGGAAAATTTGGTACAATTTAAAATGTCTGATATTTTACAAATTATAGGCTAATTAACAAAGGTAACTAGAAACACTAGAAACAGAAAATTTTTCATAAAATTTCAACTCCAATTGTATCATTCCACCATTTATATTGTAGGAAAAGGAACTAAGTTACGAACAGTCTGTTTTAAAAATGATAAAAGATGCTGCATTTTAGTAAAAAAATAATCAAAGGATGTAGATCCACTATAAGGATGTAGAAATTTATAAAACACACTGAGAAGATACTCGTCATATTAAAAATATTATAAAAGGAAAGAGGAAAATATCAGAAAATGGGTGAAATAAGGTTAAAAAGGAAGAAGAAATTAACCGGATCCATGGATCCGATTCAGTAGAGTTCTAACAGCGATCTAAAGTCGAGATCGAGCTGGTTCAAGCAAAAAGGAGAACACGGGTAAATTAACATCGCGTGTTGCACCACCGAATCGTTGTCCACCCAAGAATCCCTCGTCCAACGGTTTGATGGCCAACGGTCGCAACTATTTCCAGACGGATTTAATTAATCTTGAACCAAAAACGTCCAGTGGAAAATGGCGGCCGACCAGTCGGCCCGCCACCTGGCAGAAATAGCAGCACTGTGAAAATGGCACTTGACGTTCCCCGCTGGACAACCGACTGCAAGAGGGACAGGGGGGCAAGATGGATGGAATGGGGGAAACAAGCGAAAAATAAACGTTGGCTAAGCACCTACCTTCTGGATTAAATCTCTCATAGCTCCATCGTGTCATGCAATCCGAGTTACGTGAGAAAATTTTGTTAAGATTTTCATTTTATTTCTTCTATAGAATAGTAATTGTCATAATTGACAAAGCTCTTTATTGACGTATCCGAAAATAATTAATCTTTTTAATAAATATCACGCAATAAATAATAAAATTAACCACTCTCGATATATACATATTTTCTAGAATTAATCCCTATTTGAATTGCGCATATTTTTCTGGAAGAAATAAAATAAATAAAAATGCTAGGAAATTCAATAAAGATATTGCATCTGATTAATCAGAAAAATTTCATCTTTACTTTATTCTAACCTCAAAATGAAGCTGCAGACAACCGCCATGATGCACCGCCATGACAGTACCAATTCTATCGATCTATTTGAATCGCGCATATTTTCTTGGAAGAAATAAAATAAATAAAAATGCTGGAAAATTCAATAAAGATATTGTATCAGATTAATCAGAAAAATTCGATTTTTACTTTATTCTAACCTTAAAATGGAGCTACATACGACCGTCATGATGCACCGCCATGACAGTACCAATTCTATCGATCGAAAATCCTTCGAAGAAAATCAATAACGTTTCCCACATGAAAATCTTCGCAATTCCGAGAATTACATCCAACTAATCGGTGGAAACTTGAAAATCTGCCTTCCGGAAACCGCTGCTCAACCGATCTAATAATAATCGCGCGAACTTAATCCACCGGAAACCCATTCCGAAATACATCGACGTTAGACTGCGGAAGAGCAAGAAGCTGGCTCGCTCGAAGCTCGTGAAATGATTCGTTCATCAGATACACGCATGAGATTTCGGGAACTTGCGGTAATCGCCGTAGCCATGATGATTTATCGTGGCCACGCGCCGTCACTTCCTGTTGGACATTTGTCCAGCAGCGAGCCCAATTAGCCTCTAACTCCTCGAGAGGGTACTACGCCTCCTCGAGTTCACACAATTCGCGCGAATCTTGTTCCCTGACTTCTTAAAACATCCTATGCAATTCTGAGATGTCTCTATTTGCCGACATCTTGGAATTTTTCGCATAATTCCATTTTCCCGGGTACCATTTTATCACCATTTCCCTATATTTCCGTTTTATCACCGATTCCTTTCTTATTTCCGTTATTTTTATCGCTACATCCTAATGACGTGTCTCATACGCTATCTCTTTAGCTGTCAAAAAAATTCGGAGAATCCAAATTTGAAAAACGGTGAATTTCTTATTTCTGAAAGATTCCATGGTTTCGAAGAAAGATGAAATGTGGGAAAGATATAAGGCGATGGAAATTTGTACTTATCCCGTAAATTTTTGGAACCAGATTAATTGCAATTTGTGGAATATTAAACATCCTGATGGGTAGTGGGTAATATGTACGAGAAATTATAAGTTTACGAAAGGAGCAAGAACGTCAGACCCTTAAAGAACCATCAATAAATCCTGCACAAAACGAACATCGATCACGAGACGGTTATGAATTGCTGACCGTGATAACTTTATCTCCACTTTATCTTAATTAACTTTGTCCGTTACTGATCACCAGCAGTAGCATTGGCGTCACGCGACAACGTTTTCTTGTAAACGCGATCGAGCGGGCTGATGAGCTTGGATTACAAGACTTTATTGCGACCTGTACACGATAGGGCGGATTGCAACCGCTGCTAGTCGTAACATGCACACTGCACACCATTACAGCCCTACGTGACAAGGTTGCTAGTTCTTTCCATCAGAAGCCGCGTCCGAGTTTCGAAACGGGATTTACGTTCGTATAGCTTCTTTGCGCAAGTGCGTGTGTGCTTTTACACGACAATTATCCTTGCATATCGTTGAATCGATACACGTGACGTCGATACTACGACAGAAAATTGCCACCTTGTACATAAAATTGGTTGGCAGTTTCCTCAGGGGGTTAGCCTAGACCCGATATTATCCGCGTGAACGGGGCTTTATACGAGAACGCTTTTATCTAGTCGGATCGACACAATTTCGTTGGTATTTCGCGTGATAAAGGGTTATTTCGAGATAAAGCTGTAAATTCTCGTGTAAAGAGACGCTATGCGTTCGTAAATTGACGTTACGTCGCGGGAATTTATCGCCAGCGTAAACGCGGCTTTAGGTGATAAGGTCTCGGCCAAGCATAGTTAAGCGGAACGTTTGTTGCGCGCAACGCGGTGCGAGATTCGATCGTAACATCGCAGATTTATATACGGACGTGTTACGTCGAACCAATTAGGCGTGATGACGATACGAAGTTTTTGCGTCGGTGTGTACGCGGCTTTACGCGATGACAGTATCGTCTGTTATCGCGTCAATGTTACTTGTTAAACCCTGCCTGACCAGGTTGCAAGAAACTGGATGGATCAGAGTCGTTTTGTGAGATTTCTTTTTACAGCGTGTATAGGGCTTTATGCAGCAACAATGGGATCTAATCTGCAACGAATCGAAATGTGCATACAATACTAATGGTAGCTATCAGGAAACGTATCAAGGATGCAGCGTTACACAGCGTTTAAAATGTAAGTATCGTAGATAGGATCAATATCGTAGTAAGATTGTCTAATGTCGGAATTCAATAGTATTCTAACCTCAAAGTTGTGCGAGGTTCGTAAGTGTGAATAGGGCTTTATTCGCTAACCGAGCTGCAACGAACTGTTACAAATGCTAACGATACTATTGAACGCTTCTAAAATACGACTTCACAAATACCTAACCTAACCTAACCTCGCATATTATACTTTATCTCCAAGTATAAATACGGCTTTATTTCGCAGGCGAATAATTTTTCATAACACAAATAACAACCACGAAATCGTATATCATTCTCTGCGTTTAATTTAAATACAATTTAAACTCGCATAGTAACAGTTTATTTCTTACACGTGTGAACGGGTCTTTAGTCATCGCTTAAATTTTAGCGAAATGTTATACACGGTTGCAATGCTACTACAAACTTCCACCATATCAAATTACGACCAAATAAATTACATTGATGCCCATATAAATCTCCACTTCGAATTTACATACCGTCAGCTCCTTTCGCTCGAATGTGAACGGGGCTTTACCCTCGACTCTCGCTTTCGCCCGGCTGCCTTCAATTGTCGAGGGTCCCGCGCGCTGAAGTTCGCCACGCTGAAAAGATGGATTCACTCGGCCCGTCGTCGCGGTAGGTACCAATCGAGATACGAACCAGCACGAATCAGGCTTGATACACTGTTCGAAATAAAGCAGCGGGGCCTCGCGATCGCGACAGACAACCAGCGGCGAAAAATTCACGGCTCCACGGCCCAGCACAATGACGCTGCCGCCTTTTTGATGTCAAACGATCAGCCCGATGACGACGCCGCGAACGATACAGGTTAGAGAGCGATCCCGATCGCCAGCGCCGATTTCACGGACGGCCGTTCTTAACCCGTGGCGCTTCGGGGCCCTCGTCTCGTTTCAGATCTGCCTACGGATAAGTACGACCTGTTGGAAAATCTTAATGGTAAACGATTACGCATCCCGGCTGTGACGTCCGACCAGAAAGCTGCGACGATCGAGTTTAAAGTGAGGGACGAGGGGGGCAAAAAGAAGAACTCGGCCGATCGAAAAGGGAACGACGATGGTAGGATTTTAAAAATACCAACAAAATTTATCCAAATTGGCTTCTAAACGATTTTATATCGTCAAAATTATAGGAACCTTCTGGAATTGATTTTGTAATTTAATTCTAAATAATTTACCATTATTTGTGAGCTAAGAATTTTTTGGAATAATAGTATATACATAATAGAGAAAATAAGTGTGGACTAATAAATTTATAGAATTTCTTAGAAATTAGGGAAGAATTTTCCTGTAAAAATATTTAATAGAACGTATTTTGGAAATATGTAGAATGTGATGAAAAGGGATTTTGATTTTTAAATTTATTTTTTGGAAATTAATTCGAATTTTAGTTAGCAAATGTAGGTATGTTTTACGTTATTTTTGGATTTTAAGTATTTATTTAATTATTTTTTCCAGAGTCTCGTCTGTCCGGCGACATCTGTAGGATATGCCATATGGGCAGTTCTCCAGCTTTCGACGAAAATCGAGTCGGTCGTGGAAGACAGAGTCAGCCTATTCGAAGAGTCGACAGTCAAACGTCGACTTTATCATCCTACGCATATCTCGGCCCTTTGATCGCGGCTTGCAAGTGAGCTTATCAATATCCATTGCGATTTACCGTTTCACTGATCAGATTAGTCCATTACGTTATGGTAGTCGGAATAATCTGTATCTGGGTTGCATCTGGATTGAGCTGTCAGACTCAATTTGTTAAGCCTCACTCCTTTCCAACGATTAATTATTTTATTTTCGGAATACTTTAAAAAATGTAGAAATCAATTTTCATCCTCTTCGTATCTTTCTTTACTATTGAAAATCAAATCCACGATTTTTTTTTCTTACTCGAAATATCCGTTACGAAAATTTGAAATATTTTCAGCTTTTTAATCTTTTAATTATTTAATAGATTATTTTAATTAATTTAATTTTTGTTCTAGCATTTTTCACAGTTCACTTGTTAATTCTTTCACTTTTATCTATCGAAGAATTTTTACCTAACCTATAATATGCCTTGCGTTCATATTTCTTTCTTCTCTCTTAGCATGACGAGAGTGGTATTTGTTCTATGAGATATATTAGTAAATCAAGCAGAAATATTGACACGTGGATGTCTTAACATATGTCAGTTACACGGATCCAAGAATTTTATTTCATCTTTGATTCTCCGTCTAATCTATTCACTAATCAAATAAATGTGATAGGTGTCGCGGGACAGTGGGGTTAGTTCACGCGCAGTGTCTCGAAAGATGGCTGACAGAATCGGGTCACACGAGATGTGAGCTTTGTGGCTACAAATACACTACTAAAAGGGTACCGCGTCACAACATCTTCCGTAGTGTCGCAATATGGTTCAATACCGTGATAGTGACTCGACAAGTAAGATCTGGATCGTCCACTATCACTTCACTCCTTACATTACCACATAACCTTCAAATTATATACAGTTTTCTATTTATTTATTCACTTAGCACCAAATTCTATTTTCATATAATAGTATTAATGATTAGTGATTAATAGTTATAATAGTGATAATATAAAATAACAATTTAATAATAATAATAATTAACACGTTGAATGCCACGCCAGTTTTACAGGGATTGCCCGTGACGCCATGATGAATTTTCTATTATGCGATACATACAATGTCGAAATATTATCTGCAATAGATAAGTTATAATGTATAACTATGTTTGGCATATTAATTGCGACGGGGGTCACCATTGAATTAACGATGGTAATAATAAAAATTTCTAAATATTGATATTTGTTTAAATTATATATATATTTCTATCAATCGATCGCACGTCGATCACTGGTGGCCTCCGTGGCGCCACCGTCAAGTTGGGTGACCCCCATGGCATTCAACGTGTTAATAATAATAACAATAACAACAATAATAATAATAATAAATAATTAATAATTTAATTTAATTTAATTTTCATAATTTTCACACAATTAGAAATTACATATGTAATCTTAATGTAACTAGTATTACAATAACATATTTTTTTTTATAAATAGTACAGTAATATATAAATATAATTATTCTTTTTTTAATTACAAATATTGTACTCCATTTTCTTTTCAAAGAAATTGGAATGCAGCTTGTTACCAGATACAATTTGAAAAAGGAAATAACAAATATGGTTCCAGATGCTTCTGGATATATTGTACTTGGTAGTCACCACACCACTAGCCTTATTCTCCTGTTACATTTGCATTCTGGCTCTGAGAATGTTACTAAAACATGGCCTACAAGAAATGCCTTGGATGATCGTTGCCATGCTTCCTACTTGTTCCCTAACTCTCATTGCGTACTGGGGTTGGATATTAACTTTGGCCAGGTGTGTTAAACAGTAATTCCCATTCCTTAGATTTCACATTGCACCCAATATACCTTCTTGCTGAATCACAATCACGAAAATAATGAAAGATATAGATATTTATACGTATACTTGAACAGAATTTCGCTCTAATAATTGAATCACAGATGCACAATTCTATTTTTCATCAAATCACACGAACCTCACTTTGACATGTCATGCAATATAAATACAATATAAAGGCATAAATTATGAGAAGAATAGATATTTACAGACATAGTTGTACAAAATTAATTTCACTTTGGTATCAAATCACATCAAACGAGTCACTCTTCCAGCTGTACGATTCTTTCCTTACCAAACCACTTAGTCACCATGACCACATTATTGCCACTCATTCATTAGTAAAGCCAGCTATCACTTAATACCGCATTACAATCAGACAAAAATATTATGCCAATTCAATGCTGATTTATCGTGTCAAGTTTTGCCTCTTTGACTAAATCATACTTAAATCTGGTTCTTATCTTATTTACCGGCCCTGTTCTATAAATCTATCTGGTTAATAATTTGTCGATACAACTTAATAACCTCGTTAAGCTACCGTGTAAATTATCAGACTGCACGGGCGTAGATGGCGCCGTTACTGGAGGAACAATTTCGTCATCCGTTTGATCCCCGATGACTCGATCGTCGCAGAAGCGAATCCAAGACAAGAGGAGAACTTTGACAGCCAGTTGCATCAGAGAGAAACGACGTGACTGATGAACCGATAGAAATTCGCGACGTCGCATCGATCAATTGCAAGGACTGATTCCCTATAGGATTTAATTGCTGGTAATTTCATTTCATTAAAAAGCGGCTCTAATCGAAGCTGATTACTGGTCATCGAGGACAATTAATCGTATTAAACAGCACGAGTTTTCGCTTCGCTTCCGGTTGCCTGCTCTATGCGACAAATCGAAGAGTGCATAACCTAACCTATATCAACATTGACTGTTGAAAATTACTATAATGTCTGCCATTATCGTCGTAATAGTATTATTTATACTTGTAATGCATCTAATGGTAATGATTAACATCGACTTGGTCAAGATCATTGTTAAATTTCAGATGACTGCACTGATGTTAATAAAGAGGTAAATTCAACAGAGTATAGAATTTTTATGATTCTCTATAATTTATTATTTATATTCTATGCAATTTGTTATTCTTCATCCTTTTTTTTTTTGGTGAATCATATTTTTGTAAATATGATATTCTTCGGAGTATGAGGATAGAAAAGAAAAGATAGGTTAGGAATCACGAACACGTATGTAAATAAAGAAGGGAAAATGTAGCGATGGAGGAGGGTGTCAGAGATATTTGAATATTCAAATATGTAATAAAAAGATGTAAAAAGGTAAGAAAATACGGGACGGAAGAAAGTAATGGGGATAAAAGAAAAAGAAGTCAACCGGGTAAACCAGCTTCCAGAAGTTGTCCACGGCGAAAGATCCCGTTGGATTTCACTTTCGATAGATTGAAAGTTATTACGACAGTGACGCGACGCAATATATCATGCAACAAAAAAATACAAAAAGTAAAAAATTAAAAAAAGATTAAGAAAGAGGTACTTTAATTTTTCATCGTTATAAGGGTAGGCATTCTGAACATAAAAGCGACACATTATATTTCTAATTTAATGAAAGAAGCTAAACAAAAGTATTTTAATTCTTTAATTCAAGAAAATTGTCAAGCTTTTAAATTCTCGAAAATTTGACAATATCTTAAACTATTAATTTTCATAAATACCCAATACTTATATCTCTTTTTTCACATTTCTAACCTAAAAATTTTTTGTATTCACAATATTCTGATTTTCTTACACAACGTATACTTAACCTCTACAATTTGTGCACCAATTCAGTCACTGAAGCTTTAATTCACTACACATCAATTCTTTTTACACATTTCTAACTTAAAAAATTATTTTTATTCATAAAATTCTGATCTTCTCACACAACGTATTCCTAACCTCTACAATTTGTGCACCAATTCAGTCACTGAAACTTCAATTCGCTGCATATCAATTCTTTCTTCCCAAAGACTGTCGCGTATTAACCTAATCACTCTCGTAACCAAATACGATTCCACTCGGGCTTTGAATTTCGCAAAAATGTTGCAGAAGCTTTTCGTAAACACGTGCAGGGTAGATTATCCCGGGAAAGAGAGGATAGTAGAGGTTATTAAACCACGACCAGCTCAGCGTTTCTCTTTTTAGTCACGTTGCGCCACCTACTGCCGCGTCCTCCATCTTGAGCGACTCGTTTATTTTTCGGACCCGGCATTCCCCGCTGCTCTTCCCCCTATTCAACCACCTCCTGCCTCGGCCAGAGGAAGAAACTCAATTTTCTGCCTGTTTCACGTGAAATTAGCGGCGATAAAGCGGCAGCGTTTTAATAAGCATTCGCATAATTGCACGCTTCTCTCTCGACGGGTAGCTAACCGCCTCTACTCTTTCTATTTACTGGCCTGACGTTTATCTCACTAGATAATGCTGATCGACCTCAGAGCTCCGCTATGCTCGCCAGACGAAAAGATTTTTCGAGCGAAACCACTTCTCGCTTGCGCATTAACGCGAACGAAAGGCGGATTTTTAAGTAATAAGCGAATCTTAAGGTGTTGCAGATTGACCTTGAAGAAAAGTGGTTTACGATCCGCGTACGATACGACTCGAGAAATTAGCGAAGATCATTTTTAAGGTTATGAAGGATACCATAAAAATCTGCAGATTTTAAGATAGTTTATGTGCTTCTAAACAAGTGAACGTGTTTAAAAAAAATTATTTCTTGATTAACCTTAATAATAGACCTCGATAGAATTTATTAAAAAATTTTTTGCTAGTACTTCTTCTATCTTTTATGGTAATTATACATCTGGGGGATGTTACGTTCTATTATACTTTTTGAACAAATTAATATTCTGGAAATTCTTTTTTACACCGAATAATTTCTCACTCTCGCATTTTTTGGAAAATTATACATGTAAATTCGATCGAGGATGGTTATTAATACTTAGGGAAGCAATCCTGTGTGTGAGTCAATCAGTATTCGTAAAAAGATAAGGAAAAATGGAGAAACGAGAATAATTTGCAGATTTTTGTGAGTACAGGTACTATAGATTTCCACCATTACTGTCGGAATATCGTGGATACTTAAATTATATAGCTAATAGAAGGGATACAATGTAATACCAAGAATAAATAAAAGAGGTCGTATCGAAAATTTAGCGTTGGTTCATAAAATCTTAAAACGAAGCTTACCCACCTCGTTCTGGGATCATTTAGTTCAAATGGATAGACACTTCAATACGTATAATCGCCGTCTCTTAAAAACCTTACAACTTAATACAGAGTAATTTCTGCAACTACGTTTCATTTTCTACCCGCAATTACCATTTGCATACATAAGTCCGAGGCGTCGTGTAAAAAAAAATTAATAGCGTTTCTCTGTTAATTTCAGCCACGTACACCTGCAATATAACAGCTCCCACATACATTTTTCTCCACTGTAAACCTCAGTTCAGATGTTTCCGAGGAAAGTGCATTTGCATAATACAGCGATTTGTATTCAGGAAACGAAGTTGCATTAGATAACGTTATCGCCGGCAACTGTTCTTAGATTTCCAGGGTCTTTTAGATGGCTCCTGGATAAACGTAATCCTGGATTAGTTCGTGTAACTGACGCGGCGCTTCCTGCATCGATTTGGCGCCCTCCGCGTTTAATGGCGGCCGCAGCTTCGCCCGGCGAAAAATACACCGGGATGACAAGTGGTCCTCTATTCATATGGTAATTAGCGGAGTGATAATTTATGAAACGCTGCTGGGGTGGTGGCCTGGTTTCGTTTGACTTTTCATTTTTCTTGTTAAATCGCAGCGGTTGCGTGTTGCGTTTCTGGCACGAGATATGCGACTGTGATAAGCGAGTGTAGGAAGTAAGATATGGATACCAGAACTCGTGTAAATGTGGGAGTAAAGTAAGAAATTGGACAGATATATTGACGTCCTTATGGAAAAGATCTAACCAAGCTTGATTTTATTATATCCCCCGTGACACGGCATTGTGTCATGTTATTAGTTCATAACCTCAAATCGACAATGCCCGATTTTTGCTCCCACGTACCACGTAAGTATAGTTAATCATCTGGTAATATCGACAGGAAATTTTCTTACTTAAAATAGTCCTTATTTATAACCATAATTATATCCATTATCCATTTTCCATTACAGCATTGTAGCACAGTGTCGTGTTACTGGTTCATAACCTCAAATTGACAATATTCGATTTTTACTCGTACGTATATTTAAGTCTCGTTAATTATTCGATAATATCGACAGGAAATTTTCATACTTGAGATAGTGCTTATTTATAACCATAATTATATCCATTATTTATTTTTCTTTATAAATCAATTAAGAATTAATTATTTTCGCATTAAAAAATATCCCATGCATACTTTATTAACCGAGTTAATTACACCGACCGAGATAACCTAACTATTACAAGCGTTTATTAATCAATTTTATAAGTACTTATTAAATAACCATTTTCCATGCTTCGATATGCCCACGAATTACGCTAAATTAGACAAACTGAGCCTATCAAAGCCATCTATCGGTGTAACGCGAAAACTGTGCACTTATAAGTGGAACGTGCCTGAACAAGCACGCACCTAACCTAGAAAAAGGAGGAAGGGGAAAAGAAAACAGAGGTAGACACAAGAATAACACTAGGGAAAAACCTTCCAAAGGAACCAAACTAAGAAATCACCTCTACAAATTGATATTGCCTCGGGGTCTGTTGAAAAACTAGTGATAAACTGGTAACCTAGTGGTAACCTAGTGGCATGAAGCGATATAGGGGAAAAGGGTGGGGGAAAGGAGCGAGAGAAGAGCAGCAACACGATGGCGGCACGACAATCGAGGATACGGATGAAAATAGGTCCCCGACGGAGACGCCGTGCCCGATCCTTTGCACGTGGATTCGTCGCGAGGAAGAAATGAATCTTTTACGCGCCATCACCGCGAATGCATCCGGTTCTTCCAGATTCTCCAGCGGCACGTGACGCTCCTAGTCGCCTAGACGATCGAAAAAAAAGCGTCGGGAGGAACACAGGCTGACTGGATGAACCCTCGACCGGGGTAAATTCGAAAGGGTAAAAAGAGGATGACACCGTAGGGGGAGACAAATTATTGGCTCGTGACGCATCGAACGGCTGTCCTTAGCCTTGGGAGCAGAGAGAACTTGGGACCTCGGGTCTCCAAGTTTCGCTTCTGAACGCTGTTCCTTAATCGACGAATTCAATTTTTGAACAACGTGGTAAATCTGTAATGATAGTAAAATTTTATAATTTGTATAGAAACGTGGAATTTTTAATTTGGGATACGTTGCATTTACAAGATTAGAAAATTAAAAAATTTGAGAATTGAGAATTCGAAGATACTTGAGAATATTTCAGAAACCAAAAATTTTGAAATTCGATAACTCGAAAATTGAAGCATCCTTCTGGATGGGAACTTGGAAATTCAAGAATTCGAAGATTTGGAATTCGAAAATAGGGATATTTCAAAAACCAAAAATTTGGAAATTGAGTAACTCAAAAATTGGAGAATCCAGAAACTTGGCAAACTCGAAGATTTGAAATTCGAAAATAGGAATATTTGGAAAACCAAAAATTAAAAAATTCGATACCTCGAAAATTGGAAGATTCAGAAACTTGG